TTATAATTAGTCTTTTTCCTGGTCTCTTATTTACGTTTTCTAAATTCTGAACACAGAAACATTAATTCAAAAGGGCACCCCTATGTTTATAGCAGCACTATTTACAATAGCTAAGCTATGAAAACAACCCAAATGCCCAAAAATAGATGACTGGATCAAGAAGATGTGGTATATATGCTCAGCAATCAAAAAAGATAAACTTGTGGGCCTCCCTGGTGGCACAGGGGGTTGAGCACCACACTATGAAGCAGTCCACAACCTCTGCAGCACGGGTTCGAACCCCGGCCAGCCAGGGAGCAACACACATGACGAAGCAGATGTCTCCTGACTCGCCTGCTTATCCCTTCAGCAGTGTATTCCAGTCAGTCTGCCTGTTCTGTTCCCCACTCTGTCTCTGGTGAATTCTCTCACCCTCCTGCATCTCTGGCCTGTACCCCAGGTCTTGTATGCAAATATAAATAAATCTTAAAAAAAACAACAATAAAAAAGATAAACTCATGCAATTTGCAGCAACATGGATGGAGCTGGAAGGGATCAGGCTCAGTGAAATAAGCCAGAAAGAAAAAGAAAAATACCAGCTGGGCAATTTCAAGGCCAGCTTGGGATCATGAATGTTTTTCTTAATAATTAGGGCATTTATTTTCCCAATTCATTACAGGAAAGTTTTGTTTGATGTCAGGTGTTGTGACTGATTCTTCGTGTGGTACTAGAGATCAGTGTTCATTTTTAAGTGTTTTTAAATATCTCCATTCTGTAAAATTACTGGACACATTTCAATATTTGTTTGCTCTACTTGCTTTTTCACTTTCAAGATGGCACAAAAGTTTCAAATTATTGAGACAATTATTTTCAAATTACTGAGACAATTATTCAAAGCTCTAGTGGTTTAGTAAAATGATGCCTTAATAGGAACTTTTCTAACTAGCCAGGGAACAAGCGTCTATGACTGTGTGTGAGAGAGATTCATGTAAGAAGCTCCCTCTGATAACTCAGGGTGGTCATTCCTCCTGCCCATTCTGTTCCTCCCTCACTCCTGTGCTCACCTTTACTCTTAGAATCTTTGCTCAACTCCAGAGCTCTCTCTGAAGTTCCTCATGGTCTGCACTCAGTCTTTCCACCTTGGTCTTCAATCCCCACTACGACTGTCATCAAAGAAACACCTGGAGCCCCTTCCTGCAGTCTCAAATCCACTCAGGGCATGCACTTACAGAGAAGGCTCGGGAGCAGGGGTGGAGCCAGTGAGGTGGGACTCAGGTCAGAGCTGCTCATGGCTGTGTCTCATCCTCCTGGGGCTGGAGGAAAGTGTGACCCAGATGGGGACAGAGTTTGTGTCTCACTTCCCCATGGCACCGTGTCACTGTGGGCTGAGGATTACTGCTGTTTACTGACTGACAGTAATAGTCAGCCTCATCCTCAGCCTGGGCCCCACTGATGGTCAGGGTGGCCTTGCTCTATGAGCTGGAGCCTGAGAATTGGGCATGGGCCCACAGAGGCCAGGCACTATCAGCTATGACTAGCACAGGGCTTCTGCTGGTACTGGCTGGGCTTCTGCTGGTACCAGCTAGCATAACTGTTTATTCCTTGGCAGGTGATCGTGGCCGTCTGTCCCAAGGCCACAGAGACTGACTGTGGTTGACTCAGCTCAGCAGTGACCACTGAACCTGCAAGAGGAGAGGAGAAGAGAGGTCAGTGTGAGGATGAGGGTCATTTCCAGAGGGTATAGCTCATACTGCATCCCCTGTGCTGAGCTGAATGCCAGGCCCAGGCTGCTCCCTGATTTCTTTATGGGCTGATCACTGGGGGCCAGCACCTGTGTAGATAATGAGGAGGGGGAGCAGGTGAGGGCTCCAGGCCATGGTGCAGCTGTCCCAGGATCTGCCTCTGAGCCTGCAGTTGCGATGGGAGCTCAGGGTCTCTCTTATCCTTGGGTGGCATGCAAATCACTTCCTTCTTCTGACCCGCTGGGGGCTCTGAAAAATAGTGAAAATCTCAGTTTACAGGAGACTGTGAAATGAACCCCAGTCATACTACCTGTACAAAGATTCTAAGATCTGTTTGTGGCTTCCGACACACTGATTGCTGTGTACACAGGACACACACACATACACACACAACATACATACATACTTTAGTATGTGCCTTGTGCGTCCCTTTCTAGTGAGGAGAACAATTCGAGCTGGCTGGGCCTAAGCAGAGTGTGGGGACCAGGGTCATGCTGTGTGAGAGACTGGATTCCATCACCACCCACAAAATTGGGGAGATCTGGTCAGACTGAGCTTTAGTTTTGCTTTTTTGTTTTTTTGGAAAAAAATGCAAAGAGAAAATCATCAGACTCTACTACTAGGCAAGAATTCTCCATGCTAAAATATGATTTGTAAAAAGGAAATTTTGATAAGCTGAATCTCATTAAAATTAAAATCATTTCTTTTGCAATAGTTTCAAAAGAGAATGAAATCTCTGGTAACAGACAATGAAAACTGTCTGGATTGCACATATTCAAAGAACCACTGTTGTGCTGAGAGACAAGAGCAAACATTCCAGAAGATGACAAAGAGATAGCAAACAGCACAGGAGGAGGTTCATGTTGGATGTTGTAGAAATGCAAAGAAAACCACAGTGAGACCCCACCCTGTACTGTCAGGAGGGCTGATGTGGTAGAGGGACCACACAAGAACTGGCGGGGAGGGGAGGATCTGCATCCCTTACGTGGGCCGGAGGAGTGTGACTAGATCATACTCTGAAATGTCTATCAGTTTCCTTTTTATTATTTTATTTATTTATCTTTACACCATTGGTTTATTTTTTTTTGTATAATGTTTGATTTCTCCCATCAATTGTAATCCCCATGAAATTCCCCACACCAAATTCACCCATGAACCATCACCACAGTCTTGTTTGCTCTTCCCTCCCCTGTCTGCACCCCTGTCCTTGCTCCTCCTGTTTACCAGTGACTTAATAAATGTACTGGTAATTAGCAGGCACCCAGAAATTACACTTGGGCATTTACCTCAGAAAAGGGAAAACATATTCACGGAAAAGACGTATACAACAATGTCCACAGTCCTCTGTCCATAAGACACCCACGCTGTCCTTGATGGGTGCTGGTTAAATTGATATTCCTGCAACCGAACCATGGAATATTACAAAGCCATGGAAAGGAATGAATGAAGTCAACATAATCTTGATGAGTGTAGAGGAATTATCTAAGGGAAATGCTCTTCTCAAATGCAGCATATTAAATGATTCAATTGTTTATTTTTACATATCATTATGAAAAGATTGGAAATGGAGAACAAATCAGAGCATGTTAGGACTGAGTGGCACAGGATGTGACCCATTGAAGGAAGTAAAAGTTCTTATGAAAGGGTACAGGGGTGTCCTTGTGGTGAAGCAGCTGTGTTAGGGCTTCACTGCTGGGGTGAAAGATGAACCCATGAAGTGATAAAGTCACAAAGAACTGAACTGATAGCACATCAATGAAGACAAGCAAACCAGTATCCATTGTACTTGAAAATTGAGCACATACTTAAACAAACACCTTGCCAAAGAAGATACTCAGATAACAAACACTTGAATAGATGTTCAACATCATAAGTCAGTATGTAAATGAATATTAGAAGCATAATGAAATGTCTCTACAGATCTACTAGAAAGTTTTTGGAGGGGAAAATATCTGAAAATCTCTAGCAAGCGTGAAGATGCAGAACAGTTGCAAGGCTTATCAGTTGCTGGTGGTAATGAAAAGTGCAAAAGCAACTTCCAAACTGGAAGCCAATTTGGTAGTTTCTTGGAGAGTTAATCATTTATCTGCCACGTGACTCAGCAATTCCCTTCCTTGTACCTACCCCAGTGAAATAAAAACAATGTCCACCAAAAGCCTGTAAGTAAACGTTATAAATGATTTATTTCAAATTGCCCAGGTTGAAGCTAGACAGAGAACAAAGGCTTATTATGGGGAATGGTCAATAAACTGATGTTCATCTCTCTCTGGAAACTTCTCAGCATGGAGACGGAATGAATTATCGGTGCACATAGCAGCAAAAAGGAGTTTCAGAAGCTTTATGCTGAAGCAAAGGCGCAGAAACAGAGCTCCTGTAGGGATTCCGTTTTATGACTTTTTGCTAAGACCCAACTCCGGGGACAGGCAGGGATCAGCACTGGCAGCGCTGGGGCAGAGGCGTGACCGCCCAGGGCCGGGGGAAGGACAGAGAGGGCTTGTGCTGTTCTGCGTGGAGACTGTGGCCGCGCGACCCCTCTGCGCGCTGTGTCCAAACTCACAGACTGTTTAATAACGGGGAGGGTGTTTGTGTCTGAAAATGGTGGTTCAATAAGGACAACAAAAACTGTGGCAGGTGCAGTTTCCCAGGGGCACTCGCTCAAGGAGAGGGGGTGCAGGTGTCCAGAGGGCAGAGAACAGCCCGAGTCAGGGAGGCGGCAGCATCAGGTCTCTCCTGGCACTTTCCTGACTGTTAAGTGCGGTGCTCACCATCCAAATGCAATTTTACTCAAAAATTCTGAGCAGTTCTTAAATGATTGAGATTTTCTTTTAACACATGGAACAAATATTTCCTTCTCTGTCCTTCCTCCATGTTTCCTCAACTCACAGCCTTGTCCGAAAACATCAGCACAGCCTGGCCCTGAGCCCTAAATCCACTCCTGTCACTCAGGCTGCAGAACCTGCATGGGGGCTGGAAGAAGGGGAGATTCAGGACCTCTGATCAGGGGAAAACCCGTAAATAAATGTTATATAGGTTATTTGAAATTGCCCAGAATGAAACTGGAAGGAGAACAAAGGTTACTTATGGGGACTAGTGAATAAACTGGTCCAAACTTTCCTTTCATGGAAACTTCTCAAAAGGGAGATACAATGAATTCTTGATGCACACAGCAACATACATGAGTTTCAGATACTCACTGAGCTGCTCATGGATGTCCCGACCATCCTGGGGCTGGAGGAGAGTGTGACAAGACGGGGAAGGGTTTGTGTCTCACTTCCCCATGGTCATGTGTCATTGTGGGAACCAAAACTATTATCTGATGCCACACAGTAGTAGTCAGCCTCATCGTCGGCCTGGGTCCCGCTGATGGTCAGGGTGGCCGTGTTCCCCGAGTTGGAGCCAGAGAACCGGTCAGGGATCCCTGAGGGCCGCTTGTTATCCTCATAAATGACCAGCTCAGGGGCCTTGCCTGAGTTCTGCTGGTACCAGTGAGCATAATATTTTTCAATGTTGTCTCCCTGGCAAGTGATTCTGACCGTCTCTCCCAGGGCCACTGACATTGAAGGTGGCTGAGTCACCTCATAGGAGACCACAGAACCTGCAAGAGAGAAGAGTAGAAGATGACTGGAAGATGGAGGGCCTGTTCACAGAAGATTCTCCTCGCCCCAACACCCCACATGAACTTGGACTCAGCTGTCATGTCTCAGGGCCCCATGGTGCTCAGTTCCACCAGTCTCAGCCAGTGACCCAGAGCAGGGCAGATGGATGGGGCATTTGAGCATATGACACCCTACCCCTGCAGTAAACAGGCACAGCTGATGGGGCTCACACAGAGCAGTGAGCACAGTGGGGGTCTTCAGAACCCCAAAGCCCCACCCTGCACAAGGCATGAACATCCTGCCCCCCAGGCAGCCCCCACTTAGCTCAAAGTCAGAAAAAGCCTTATCCCAGAGCCTTGGGGCTGGGGTGCAGTAGTCTGGCTCAGCACCTGTGCAGTGTGCCAGGAGGCCCAGGAAGAGAGGGGTCCAGGCCATGGTGGGGTCCCTGCTCCTGCTCCCTAAGGCTGAGGCTAGGCAGGTTCCCCTCCAGGCCTGTCTTATCCCCTTGCTGGAGAGAGCTGCTGGGTATGCAAATCAGCCAGGGCCAAGACTGCTGCTTGGGGAATTTTGTGGTTTCAGAGAAGACTAAGCCCCCAGGAAACAGGGAGGGGAGGGGTATTTTCTGAAGTCCCCACCCTCAGCTTAAGTATCTTCCTTTCCTGCTGGTCTCATAGTCTAATTGATATCTCTTCCCTATACTCCATCCTGGAGTCTGTTCGGCAGCCTCTTTGCAGGCAAAGCTCAGCCTGTAGTCTGTGTGTTTTTCGGTCTTGGTCTGTAGGTGCTAATTGGAGGGGTAGTGGGGGGCAGGGTGCAGCATCTGCACAGGTCCACCCCAGGGTGCAGCATCCACACAGAGAAAATAATAAATCTCCTCCTAGCATAGCACATATGGAGTCATTGAATTTTATAATGTTTTCATCCAGGTGTGTGTCCTGAGGGGGGCCTTAGGGGATGTGCCTCAGTAGCCCAGAGTATGCGCAGGTCAAATAAACATCATGTGCCCCCAGGAATGTTTGGTTCCCTCTGCAAATTCTAAGAGCAGCTGACATGAGCGTTCACTTTAATTAACTGTATTTAATTGCTTGGGAAAAGATATTAAGTAATAAATGTCTCAGTTCATAACAAGGGAACAAAAGTTTATATAGCAACACTGGGTTCCAGGCACTAACCCAGGAGATGGATGATTTTGTCTGGTGGGCAGGAGCTTCTCAGAACAAAGGGAGAAAGGGGTCTATGCAACCACAGAGAAGTCAGTTGTAAGGAAATGATGTCATTTTAGCTGGAGTGGGTGTGTTTGGGCAGTGGATATTGATGTGTCTGATATTGTGCCAGTGAAATTGGCAGTTTTACAAGTTTCAGATCACCAGGATTTGGAGTCTGAAAATGGGTTCATGATTGTCAAGGATGACACTGGGAAAATATCACCCCTTTACTCTGGTGTTTGCTCTTTGTTACTTTCCTTTCACCCTCTCCAGGGGTTCTTTAAAACACCTGCCATTTGTGGCTCTTTCCTGCCCCCTGGTGGCCACTCGGCTCTGGCTGCAGGGGGCGCAGGCACATCAGCTATTCAGGTGAGGATTCAGAAGCATGATCCATGTGCTGCTGACCCAGGGGTGAATTCCTCTTCCACGTGTGGCCCCTGCTTACCTCAAGATCAGGTACAGAGGTCTCAGAGACCCTTGAAAGTCTAAGCATGTTCATTTAGAGGAGGCTGGTTTAGGACCCTCCTGGGATGCACCTGTAAGAACTGCAGGTCATGGGGTGGCACAGGGGCGAACAGGATCCTGGGAATGGCTCTTAAGGGTGCCAGCTGTGTGTGAAGTGCCATCATGGGGCCAGGGTGGTGACTGCACCCACGACAGACAGGAGAACATAAGCTGGCAAATATTTGTGACCCCCATTTCAGTCTTAGACACATTCCTTCCTGGGTCTATGGCATGAATATGGCAGTGTCCCTGCCTCAGGACTTTCATATAAGCAGAGCAATAGAAAAATCTGGTTTTCAGCCAAGAAGATGATTCTCACTAATTTCTCGGTGTACTGTCTTATCTATTTCAAAACTGCACACTGTTCTCAGGTTCCTTCAGTCCGGATCAACCACATGGTCCAGTTCTCGCAGAAGTAGAACACCTGTCATTTTATTGGGATTGTTTTCTATGAACCTTTGCTGTGATCTCAGAGGTACTGGATTTATACAGTAGCTTTCCTCTTAAATGATGATGTGATAGTTGGAGCTGCAACAGCCACTCTGAGGACTTAGTTGTTAACTTTGCTTTGAAAAGCAAAGTCTTTACAGTGGGGTGGTTCAACCAGAAAATAGGAAGGATCTGTGATCATGGAATCTGTGGGTATCTGTGGCACAGCCATCTCACTTCAGAGTTATTGTAGGAGAAAAAAACTTCAGTCTGTTTATGCCTTGGTTTGTATTATATTTGCTTTGCATGTAAAAGACCTGTCATTTCCTGACCCTTGGGAAAATGATTCACAGAAATCAATCAATGAACAAAAATGATAGTGAAATATGCAGTCAGTTAATTAATATTAGATAACAAATGACAGTTAGGTACTATGTGGTGACAAGCTTGAGAAGATCTTTCTGAAGAGGGGACTTTGGAGATGTTGTCAGGATGGGATGATGGAATAAGTTGTAGGAAGTATCTACAAGAGTTGACTCAGTTTGTGAGGATGAAACCAAGGCTAATTCACCCTCAAAATCCTGGACCATTAATACTTATCTAACTCCTTAGGTATGTATGTTTGTATATATGTGTATGTATATAAGAACTATATATAGGGGTATGTGTGTATGTATTTCTCTTTTTTTTTTTTAATAGAGGCATGTTATTTATTTATTTGTTTGGTTGGTTGGTTGGTTTTTTGTTTTGTTTTGTTTTGTTTATACATGCACTGGGTATAGTCAGAAGTGCAGGAGGGTGAGAGAATTCACCAGAGCCAGAGCGGGGAGCAGAGCAGGCAGAAGGACCAAAGTACACTGCTGAGGGGAGCAGCGGGTGGCAGGAGAGGTCTGAACGCCATGTGGGACCCTCCTAACCGGCACCGCAGAGGCCGCAGGCAACATTGCAACCCAGCGCTCAACCGCTGCGCCACTGGGGAGGCCCTGTATTTCTCTTTTCAAAGAAATGTATCCTGAGTGTGGATCTTGGTCCCAACCCACATCTGCACAGCCAGTCTGCAGGGGGACGTACTCCCATTCAAGGCTGGTGGAGAGAGACTGGGTTGCATCTGAAACTGGAGTGTTGGGACGGGGAGCCTTGTCCAGACCAGGGTTATGATCGGCAGAGCCCAAATGCCAACACTGGGCAGGAGCAGGGGCCTCTCTTTTGGACCCCAGGTAGGGAGAGTCTCTTTGGGCTTCCGGAGAAGCAGCATGAGGTTAGACAACCTGAGCATGTACTAAATATCACTGACCTTCAGCTAATTTCTAAGCCAGTTGAAACCAACACCCGACACAAACATAAATTATTTGGGAAAAAACCTTTCCATGTCTGGACTGATTTTGGTCTGAATAAGGAAACTCTGCCAGGCTTCTACCTTTCTCAGCCCTGGCTTTCCTCCTTTCTTCCATCACTGCCATAACCCTGTCTCCGCTTCCAGATGGGGGAGGCAGATGTGAGCCTTGAGTCATCTGTGTCCTTGTCTTCAAGTCATAAGAAAACTCTCATGTCGAAAGTCACTCATATTTTGGCTTCTATGGGTGTTGGCTGTGAGACCATCGCTCTGCAACAGGGAACGTTCTGGGTTTTCTGAGGATAAAAGCCAGCAACACACTCAGCTGTCTATGATCAAAGCCAGTTCAGTCCCACTGTGACAGGTTTTCATGAGAGCTTTGGGCAGTGATCAGTGTGTCATCAGGGGGAATCTGCAGTTCACACTCAGGTCTCACAGCAGCAGAGCAGCATAGAGGGGACCTCCAGGACCAGCCCTGTTTTACACAAGTGAACAGAGTTCAGCCACTTGGTCATTCCTGTGTGACCCGCAGGCTGCAGATAGGGGAGTGACCACCTGTCCCTCCTCTCTACATTGGCACCCATCATGAAGCCAGGTGTGGACAAAGATACTTCCTGTGCACCCTGTCCTGGGCCATCTCTCTCCCCAGTGAGGAGCCTCCATAACTTTATAGACCAATTGAAGGAAAAAAGGTAATTTTTGAAACAATATGTAAGAAATTAAATTTTTCTCTCTTGTGGGAAATATTTTTATTTTTTCACAGTATGATATTTTACATTAGACTCTCCTTTATTCTGCATCAGTCATGTTGAGATGTAATTCAAATACATTGTAATTTACCCATTAATGTATAGATAATGCAGCAGGCTAAGCTATCCTTACTGAGATTGCGATCATCACTACAGTCAACCTTACAAAATTTTGGCACTGAACTGAAACCCACCACCCCATTCTCCAGTTCCCCTCTCCGAACACCCCAGTTCTAAGCAACCACAGTAAGTTTCTCTGTCTCTCACTCTATTTCTCTGTTCAGGACTTTTATGTAAATAGAGTTATGTAGTGTGTGGTCGTTTGTACTGACTCCTGTCATTGCACAGCATTTCCTAGATTCAATCCCATTGTAGCATGGAGCAGGATTTCATCCCATGTCATTGCTGACTTGATATTCTCTGTTAGGGACATACCATGGTTAGTTGCTCCATTCATTCATTGATGGGTATTTAGGCTATTTCCACAATTTGGCTATTAGGAATGATAATGCTGCAACAAACATTCTTATAAAAGTTTTCTGTGGGCATGTTTTCACATTTCTTGGGTATATGTTGCAAACAGAATTGCTGGATATGTTACCTTTGAATTAGTCATTTGAGCAGTTTCCAGACTCCTTAGCAAAATGGCTCTACCCTTTCACATTCTGATATGTATGAGGGTTTTGTTTCTTCCACATTCATGTCAACATTGTTATCTGACTTTTTAATTTATCCACGCTAGTGAGGGTAAAGTGGTACCTAAGTTTGGTCTGAATTGCATTTCCTTAATGACTAATAATGGTGAGCACATTATGAGCTTATGGCTATTTGCACTTTCCCCCACAGAAATATTTCCTTAGTTTGATTAGCTCTGTCATACGGGTTGTGTTCTTCTGTCCCCCATCTTCCTGGTGCTCTGTGATTACTGGACCATCACTGCCTGTTTGGGTCCCCAGGTTTCATGTGCTGGTGATGAGTGTCCTTCTGGAGTGCAGTTCCTGTTTACCCAGGTTGTGTGCTGAGCTGACCCCCTTCATGGACGTGCCACCTGCATGCCATATCAGGGTGGCATTGTGGATAGGGCTGTCAGTCCTGCCAGACACTGGCACATAGTCTTTGACCACAAGCCCACACTCAGGTGTGATCAGGGGTTGGTGCTGCGCGTGCACATGTGGCCCATGGCTGCCTGGTGTAGCTGCAGGATGGGCCTTGTGA